AAATGGTAACCTGTTTAGAAAATGCTTTCAGAAAATGACAGCGGTGCAGCTTAGGCTAATAAAATAACGCACCAGAATGCTTGAAACCCTCTAATTAGCCACAACCTTTAAGAAATGCACATTGTGGTAAAGCTCATACATATTTATACAATTTAATAAAACCCAGAGCAAGTTTTTTTTGGTTTCCCATAGTACTTTCTCCTGTTGATCCCAGAGTTCCTTCAAACCTTCTACTTTACTAAATGGCTAATACACAAAATGAGGTTTACAAAATGAAACGATCTCATCTGAAGAGCTGAAGGTGTCTTAGCATACAAATGGGATACTGAATAACCTAGAGAGCCAGTGATTGGTGAGAATTTGAAATTGTCCTTCTCCTGAACTTTAGTTATGAAGTGAAACAACAGTCTCAGATTAGGATATAAATTAATAGGATGCATTCAGAGGCCAACTTAAAACTTGGAGACTGCCTGTTTCTAAAATGGAGTGTTGTCTTCTTCAGTAAGTGCGTCAGTTCATTTTCACATTTATTGGTATACCACTGGACTCTGATTTTGGTGACATTTGTTTTTTGCCAAACACTTGGAAGTACTCAGCAGAAGCTGTTCTTGTTTAGGAATTAATCTGCTGTAGGAGCTGTATCTACCATTTTGGAAGTAAAACGTTTTAGTTTATTCTTTTTTTTTACTACTCATCTATGAGTACAGTCACACTACATGAGATTTTGACAGAAAAAAATAATCTTTGCCTAAAATGAAGTTGGAAGTTAGTCCATAGTAAGTAGCTTTATGGAACAGTTATGATGTTTAACTCTATGTCACTGTATCTAGCAAGCATATTAAATGGATGGTAGTGTTTTGCATTTTGAAAAAATAAAGTATTTTTTTAATAGACATTTTTGACAAATATTTTGGTAATTACAATTCTTCTCGGGCATCTGGAATCTTTGCCTCAAAATGTCTCTAATCATTATTTTGAGATAAACATCCACAACAGTTTCAGGAACAAAAAAAAAGAAAATGAAAAAAAAAAAGAAATATGAAATCACACATTAATATATAATCTAATTGTAATTACCTTGGTTTGTCATTTACTTGCCAGAAGTAATCTACTAAGGCTGATGACTTTTACATTTAGGCATTTTGTATCTCAATTATGACAATTTAACATGTTTTTAGATTTAACTGACCTGAAGCAATAAGGTTAATTTAATGATGTATAAAAAAATCTCCTAATCCTACGTAGCCTCATATCAGATATTTGCAGTGTCACACTGTGTGGAACTGACATTTTTAAATCTAACATGTTCGGGTGAAAAGATACACTCTCTGTGTTGCACACAGTGTTCCAGATGAACATTAAGACTAAGTGGGGCACCAAATAGTTGTCTAATTTGTGTGTTGGGTTACTAGGCATATGTCGCTTCAAAGAAGCATGGAACATACTGTATAAAGACACATTGCTCATAATGTGTAAAACCTAATTGTAGGACAAGATAGGTTGGATATTAAATCATTTGGCGGTATGAATTTAAGATTAAACAGATTCTCTAATGACAGTTTTAAAAAATAAAAACAAAAAAAAACAAAGATATTTCTGTCTGACTTCTCACTTAAGTCTATTTTGGAGCACTTTCAAAGGAATGTATTTTCTGTTTTCTCAGTTATTGAAAATGAAGTCAGTTTCAGCTTTCCTTCATTTTAGTAAAAACCCATTCACTGCGCTAATAAAGAACACAGTCCCGAGTCTGTGTAGCAGTCACGTACAGCTGGAGATCTGTGCTTTACTGGTGCAGTCTGCAGTGCTAATACACAGCAGTTCATTCACAGCATGCTTCTGCCTCCTCTCGACTGGCTGCTTCAAGGTGTAGGCCCTACCTGCTGTAATTTTCTTTACCAGACACTTAGCCTTTTTCCCCCCTCACTCAAAACCTTCACTGCTCTGTCTTCTCCCCTTGCTGCTGTTAACGTTTAGTAATGTGGAGTTTGGTACCAGCAGTGTTTGGCATATAGCATCATTTGGCTGCTGTGAAATTAAACTCAGGAAATGAGAAAAGCTGTTGTATCGGGTGTTGCTAAGCAACTGGTATTGTGTTGCTCTGATGGATTATGTCTTCACTTTGTGAATACGTACTGTTGAAAATGAGAGATTCGGTGCTGAAGGCTGGTGACATCTGTGTTGTTGACACTTTTAGAGGCCCTTTGGAAATAAAGCTAGTCTTTTCTCACTTGCTTTAAAACCATATCTCAGACACAAAAGACCTGATTCATACAAATTATGTACTCTACATATATCATTGACCAAACATATTTCAAATCCAATATTTGATTGTGGATTTCTGCTTAACATGTTTATTACAAAACATTGTTCTACAAGCATCCCTGGCTCTGTATAAACAGATGTTATTTCATCAAAAGGAATTATGAAACACGATGAAAATACACGGAACAGGTCAGGTTTAAGATGAAGTTTTCTTTCATTTTTTCTTGTGGCTCATCCTTTTGTAGAAATTTGATTGATGTCTCCCATTTTTATAGTCTGTTTTTTGATAGTTGCTTTTGTTACAATGCTGGGAAAACCCACTTCCACTTCAACAATCAATTTATGTAAAATGATGGTTTTGTGGATACAATCTGAAAATATAAACATGCATATTTAAAGGTATTTACAGACCATTTTGAAAAGAGCAATCTGAGATTCCAGAGCAGCACAACAGATCACACACATTTTGCAGGTATGTAGATTTAATTGAAGAAAACATATAGTATTATACAGAATAGCAGTGAAAACAACCAGGGGGAGCTATGAAAATTAGTGTCCACACAAAGCCTGACACTGGAAATGGATGATCTGTCAAGATATATACCGCACTGCTTTTGAACATTTACACAGCTCTGCACGTATGGCACAATATTGAATTTGTGAGATAGAAGGGAATGATAACTTTAAAATAACTCTTCTTCAAAGAGCTTCAGGACATACTAAGTAACCAAATCTGTTATATGTATACAGTATAAATATATACATGCGTACTGTATATACCACATGTACTGTACTGTGCATGCATTGCATTTTCATAATAATCTTTACACTTCTAGAGTGCTTTTCTGGACCCTCCACTCAAAGCACCTTGCGGGTAATGGGGACTCCCCTCTACCACCACCAGTGTGTAGCCCCCACCTGGAAGATGTGACTGCAGTCAAAGTGCACTAGTACACTCACCACATACCAGTTATCACTAGGCAGGAGAACACAGTGATGAAGCCAGTTTATAGATTATTAGGAGGCCATGATTGGTAAAGGACTGGGGGGAACTTTTAGTGCTACACATGACATACACTCCTCACACTTCACGCCAACAGAGTCTTAGACAGGCATGTTAACTGGCAGGAAGCCATTCTGCTATAAAAAACGTTAATGATGGAAAAACTAGCAACACACTTGTTAATATTTTAAAAATCACACCCGAAGAAGGCTCCACAGCCGAAACGTTGTGTTTTCTTTCTTTTGTTTTCAGCATGGAATAAACCTATTACTTATTCCTTGGCAGCCTACGCATGCTGTTGCAGTTACCCACCTGAACTAAAAAAACACACGTACTGTATGTACTGTAGCATCAGATGTATTGTAAAGAGAAACGTCCTATGCAATACACTTTCTGAATTTCATTAATCACATACCCGATAAACTGGATTTCTGAAGCCAGCATGATAGCCAACATACAGCTCACAGAGTTGCTCACACAGGTGTTTTTGCAAAACTAAAAGCCCCAGTTCAAATTTACAATATCCCAAACAGTACCACCAAACCCAGTCAAGCACTCCTTTACTGAAACCTTTTTGCAACAGCAGACTCACATATCAGACATATTCAGTTAGAATAACATCTCATATCCAGAACATACTCGTGCGTATTCAAGAGATCAGTTGACACTATTTGTTGACACCATTTGTCCAATATGTATTGCATTGATTTCATTAGTTGTTTTCAGTGGGATAGCATAAGTGAATATCTGTAGCTTTTCAGATCCTAGTTTTATTTGTGTCATTTCATTCAGCATTCATGAATGCTCTTGTGTTCCTGAGCAGAGGGTGGCATCGTTCACGTTTCTACAAAAGCAAACTAGTGTAACTTCTTGTAAATTATTTATTTTTCAAAGTGTCTGTGCATGTACTAGGCCTGAAGTTTGCGTTTTGTGTGGGCTTTTTCCCCCTCTTTTAAGGAGAAAGTAGGCTTGGAATACATTTCGTGACTCAGCGCTCTGTAATCACATACTGTAGAACATACGTAGCAAGAATAAGGGAGGAGAGACCACATGGAAAGGTCATGTGAAAGCAATTCACATATATACTGTATACATATTACAACATGAGTTGCATAATAGTTGCCTAAAATATGACAATAATACATCAGTGTGAAGTAGTGGTCCAAAATTGAAGGTTGTGGGTAAAAACCCTGCTCTACTCTTGAGCAAGAGAAGTTCCCCTGTATTCCTGTAGCAGAATACCCAGCTGTATAAATGGGTGTAAATGTACTTTAATTGGTTATGGATTAAAGGGTCAGCCAAATACATACATATATATATTAGAATGTATACAGTATACTTGGTTTAATGTAACAGATACTTCTCTCATTCAAACAGGGTCTGTTTTTGACAGGCCCTAACCTTCAGGGTTTCAATCTTGCACAGTTCAGATCTAACATTTCTGTGCTATATGTTCAGAACATTTAATCTTATTACGGGTTTACTTTTTGTGCTCGAATGTACTGTGTACTTCCTGTGTCTGTTTGAAAATGTCCTAACTTAAAGATTTCTGTCTATAGTAATTGGATTAATATTTAATAATTAACTAATAGCTTGATTTGTGTCAAAGACAGTTAAGATCACTTCAGTTAAATTCATTTAGCAAGTGAATTCCTTGACAATGCTGCTGAACAATTTTTTCGAAGAGATGGTTAAACTGTTCTGATATTATGTCCTTCTTGTTTTCCCATCTCAGCTGATTTCCAGTGACGCAGATGGAGCTATACAAAGAGCTGGGAGATTCCGTGTGGAAAATGGATCTTCTGATGAGGTCAGTGTAGAAATACCACAAAATAAAAACAGTGCATGTCTTGTTGTTTGGCCTTGCATACTGCACAAGATCTGATGCACATATGTATTTATGAAGGATTTAATTTTTAATCATATGCACATACAGTATACACATACAGTACTTCTGAATTATGTAGGAACATTTTATCTGAAATGAGAAGACAGTGCTTGGATAACACTAAATGTGATACATGAGCTACAATAAAAGATGGGATTGAAATGGCACAGTGACGTTTTATAACATCTAAATGTGTGGATACAATACTTTATGCTGTCATTCCATTTGGATTTACTAACTTTTAGGAGTTATATGGCTTTGATGTCATATTCATATTTCATATTCAGAATTTGAAATCTAGGACATCACCATTTTCAGATCAACAAATGAGACATTCAAATGAAAAACAATACTCTTGCTAAAGATAGTTGCTTTGCATTACTGTTTATAAACATTAATACGTGCTACTGTATGCACATTACACTTTTCAGCATGTGAGATGCAGGAGGTAATAAAAATATTTATCTGTTATGTGAAACAATCTATATTCTCAACAGTTTCCAGTTTCATTAGTTGTCTTTTAAGAAATGACAGTTATTTACCAACAGTCACTTCAATTCACTTCAATGTCTTTTCTCATTCATTAAAGGTTAACTGGTTCACTACATCATCTTTAAAGCTTAGAAGCATTAGTCCATGTTCAATGATTATTTATAGAGCATACAGCCCCAAGAATTTCAATCCATTAACAAACTTCACAGTGCATCAGTAACCAAAAAATATCACCCTTAAAAAAGAAAAATATAATTCCAGAACTGTGAATGATCATTTTTCTTTTTGACTACATTGAACAGTAATTTTTTTTCTGTGCAGTTTCTTGGCTTACTGTATATCATACCCATCTTTCAGAGTCTTTTTAACTTCTTCCTTTTTGGTTTTTATTTCAACTGGATTTTCAATGAATGCTTTGAGAACTGAAAGTAATATATTCCATACGTTGTATATTTAATTTTTTTGGTTCCAGATCTTCAGCATGCTTGCTCTTAAAAATAAATCATGCTGAAAGTCATTTCTGATTCCTGTTGCAGGGGGTTCACGTGTCATTTGGGACTTTAGACTTGACAAAAGTGACTTGAATATAACGTTGTCAAGTGCACAATATTTGAATCCTAGTTAAAACATCAGGGTTGTTGACTTGTGACTAGAGTCAAATATTTTTGACTTGAGACTTGAATTATATCTTGGCAGTTGTGTCTCTAGACTTTACATGAGACTTGAAAAATGACTGCTTGTAAACATGCCGCGGAGAAAAGTGCTTTGTTTTGAGTGAGATACTGTGGAATAGCTTTACAGAATGTTGCAGTGGTACTGTACCACTGAAGGTCTTTCTCTGACAAACCCTTTTCATCTGCACTTTGATCATCTGAACAACTGCTCTTGTCCCTGTAAGATGACAACATCAAACACTTGGAAATAAAAGAATGCCAGACAACAAAACAGATTAATGTGAGAAGACTCTCTTCACTTCCACCCTCTTTTTATCTGATCCACAGGTGCAACAGTGGCTTTTGTTTTTTGCTTTTCGACTGGAAAATAAGGATAGCAAGCTTTGTACGCATCAATATTTAAAAAATGTTTTTCAAAACTGTTACATTTGAAGTTTGTGGGCTAGCTAATTAAGATTTGTTCTTTTCATTTTAATGCGCTGTATTTTTGAGCAATTTGTGAGATTAGACAAATGGGTCTTGAATGTGTTTTTAGTGTGAAGACTGTTGGTTCTCACTTTATTTTAAAACGGATTCTGTTAACATGAGAATGTGGCAAGCCTTAGTAGGAGAACATAATGTTGTTTTTAGCACATTCTCTCTGGTAACTTCTTTGCAATCTCAACAATTACACACTGAATGTACACTGCAGAAATCTTCAGCCACTTCCTCTGCTGATGACTTGATAAGGATCTTAGCAGTTCATTGCAGACACACCCTATAATAAATGTATAGCCTTCTCCCATTTCTCTATACCATAATACAGTATGTTTAAGTATAATCAACAAACTACCTGTCAAGTAGAGGTATAAAGAGTGGTATATTTGTTCAGAAAAGAGGGAGTAGGCTTATTTACAATGTTGAGTGTAAGCATGCACAGTCTACCATCTTTGCAATTCAAAAGGCTGTCATTTTCATCTATTGTATGTTGTTTCCAGTTCTGAAACGCCTGTACTCTTTGCAAAATCACTTCCAATTTTCACTTGTGCAAAGATCAATAGCTGTGCTATTAGCAGAAGTACAATGCCCATTTTTTCATCGGGTGTTTAAATAAGATTTAAAGTTTTAAGCCACAGAATGTAGATGGGAGTGTAAGAAAACCTCATACTTGTATAAGCTTGTGTTGACAATTGGTTTATTTACATTTATATTAATCTAGAAATAAATGGGTGTGTACTTCAATTGTACTGTATGATTTAGTAAATAGTGCTGCACTGCAAATTTGTGTTCCGGAAACAGGTCGCAGTGCGATGAGCAAGTTAAAAAAGTGCCGTCACTCCCCTCTGAAAGCTAGACTGTGTGAAACTGCTGCACCAGAGGACCCTTTTTTTTGGCTTGGTGGAGTTACAGTATCTGCTGTCTAGGGAGCTGAGAAGCGCACGCTCAGAACCCACAGGCCACCAGGATCGTTTCTTGGCAAGGGGAAGGGAGACATGCAGTTGTCACATTGATTTTTATTTTCAATTTAGAATCTCCCATTCATTTTTTGTTATAGTTTCCCGATTTGGGAATCGTCAGATGTCTTCGCTGAGGCTATAAAGCCTTCACAAAGGAGAGAATGAGGAAACGTAGGCCGACATGCTCATCTTTTAATGTATCACAGGCGACCCACCACAGACCAGAGATTCCGTGCCAGTTGGAAGAGAGGCAGCTCTCTCACAGATAACACGGCAAATCTGCAAGCACCTAGGAAGGTTGCAGGGGTCACAGTGTTGGCTAAGAGCCTTGTTACGTCCCACTGTGCGGTCTGTGTGTTTTTGTTATGTTCCACACTACTGACCTTGATTGTTCTCCCTCCCTAAGTGGTCCATCATTACACTATTGTTTCAGTATGATGTCGTCATCAGCTTCTCAGCCAATCAGAACTCATCTTATTCACTATATAATATGGAGACTTTCAGAAGGAAGAAGCCTTTCGTTTGACTCGGTTCGGTTTTCGCTTCGCTTCAGCTTCGGCTTTGTTGGTTTGTTGGTTTGTTGGTTTGCTTTGTGTGTATGTGTTTTCGTATAGCTTTGGCTTTGTTGTTTTGTTGGTTTCTGTTTGTCTCTTTGTACTTTCGTTTGTTTGTGTTATCCTTATTTTGCCATAACCTTGCCCAAACTTTTTATTGTACTGTACTTGTTAGACAGCCCTGACTGACTTTTCCCCTCCTATACCAGGCAGCGCTCACACATTTCTACAGGGCTGCTTGGGGAACTCCTGCTATAACTAGAGATGGGACCCAGTCTCGAACCCACAACACCTGGATCACAACTGGAGCTCAACCTGTGCTCAAACCAGCAGTTTCACCAGTTGCGCCACGAAATATGAGCTTAGTGCAGAACTGTAGCTTCATTGGCATCACAATAGCTTAAAATTCATTCACTGCTGTCAACACAAAGCTAATGTCTACACATGCATTTTGTTGTTTTTGACTGTGAGCAGTTGCATTGATAGGGAAGAAAACTCTTAAGACACAAAGCTTTCTAATAATACATTGTTTGGAACAATGATTATGCTGACAGTATCAGGCATACACAGTTAAAAGAGCTTCTACAGTTTAATCACACTCTGTGGACTGTAGACAATGAGTAAGCAATGAACTACTGGCACTACATACTGGGGACGGCTGGCAGTGGCATTAAATTATACATACAGAGGTAAGCTACTGAGCATTTTCTTCTGGGGGTTACAGGAATTCCAGATTTTCACATTCATGAATTCCAACCTCATGTATCCATTAACCGAAAGCAGCTTATTCTGCATGAGAGTCACAGTTATCCAGAGCCTTTTTCAGGAAGCACAGGGAGCAAGAGCAGTTTTGGGCAGAGACACCATACTTGCCTCATAATGGATGGATAGATGGGTAGCTAACTTTGTTTTTCTTTGCAACCTTTTAGAATTACACCTGAAAACCTTCCAAGACCAGGCACTATTTGTTCAAGATGCATTTATATGGAGAAAGCTTTTTGAATTATGTAAAAGAAAATATTTTAAATCCATATGGAGCGCTATGCCTAATACGGCTGATAAGTGCTTTTCTGGCTCACTCAACCATCACTGAATTATGCTTCCCCTAGGTAGTGTTACTGGGGACTTGCACAGAATGTTATTCTGTCTGGGATCAGGGTCTGTAGCTGCTGGATTTACCTCTCAGGAAACACTAAATATGACTCCAGATCCTTTTGTTATATAATTCAGCACATAATGGTGCCTGTCAGTGTCTTGTCTTCTCCCTTGATCTGTGTTCCTAGATATTGATAAGATGTTCAAGTGTCTGTCATTTGGACAGACTGATCATTCCATTTACCAGCAAAAAGAAATAAGGCAGGGAAAAGGGACTTCTGCGAAGATTTGATTCTTTAAGTTAAGATATGAGCTCCACATCAAATAATAATTAGGAATATAATATTTTTAAAAGAAGATATTACATTTAAAAATTGTAAAATGTCAAAAGAGGGGTAGATATCCTAAAATGTATTATTTAGGTGCATCTACTATATACTGTACTGTATAATCTTTTAATTCACTTCAGACACTAAGAGAAATGGCTTCTCATGTGCAGCACAACATCTGTGGAACTCCTGGCACAAATCCATTAGAGAGCATTTTTAAAAACGTGCTTGAAGACCCGTTTTTTCATTGTAGCTTTTAATGTATAATTTAGTTTTATATTGTGCAGTGCTGTGATTACAAAAATGCTGAGAAAGAAAATGTATTTTTTAGTATTTCTTGAAGTATGCAGATTTATGACTTTAAGATGTTGTCATCTGTATAAAAAGCATGTCATTATTTTTTCACAAGGGTGTTACTGTTTAATGAAGGCTGTACTAGTTTAATCGTCAAAGTGGTTTCACAGTACTCTCATGATCAATATCAGTGTTCCAGTCATATATATGGAAATATGTGTGTTATTCTGCCTTGCTGCTACAGATCAATATCATTCAGCTGACTAGGGTGTGCAATTTAAACTCCAATTTCTTTTTTCAAATGCCACTGTTGTTCAATTAAGGTCCAAGTTCCCTTGTTGGAGCCCAAGCATTATAAAGTATAATTACAGAAATATGAATATCTGAGAGCTCCAATGAGAATGGCTCAGGACTGAGACAACCTTTTCTTACAACAAAAGAACAATGAAAGCTTAAAGTATTTTATTTCTACAACCCTTGAAAGAGAGGGACTTTCTTCTAAAATAGTGCACGTAAAGTGCTCCCATAAACAGCAAATGATGAATTGATGGGTTTAAAGTGGGAGATGAGCAACTGACTGTGGCCTCATGCTTTCTTATTAATTTTATCAATTATAGTTAAGTGCTCTAATAGGCAAAGTTATTTAATTAATAAAAATAACAAAAATTACATATACTGTAAACCTATTTGTTCAAGAACACCTGTAACTCCAGTTTCAAAAATCACTTGCCACCATCAAAATACTGGATACTTGCCAGTTTCAAAAATCAGTCTTAGTGAGGCCTCCTGAGCCAGGAAAGATACCCACTCTCATAACACATGGAGAGGCACTTGTACTGAAATGGTATTCTCATTCCAGAATTGGCAGGCTGCATAGAGAAGGAAAGAGAAGGCTGAATTTTGAGATTGGCAAACACATTCACCTAATAGGTTCGGAACTGGAGTGAAGGATAGTTTCTATTTTATTTTGCATTCCATTGTTTCTGTGGCAAACACAAGAGAAGGGAAAAGAGGAAGAAAATGTCAGCACACCCTCTTTCCTATTTGTCAATATTGCCTTACAAGGCTAGATGATGCACAGGTATTTGCTTTGTCCATATGGAGCGAATGAATGCGAATGCGTAGCCAGGAAGGCTCATATACTAGATGCAGACCATTGCAGCATGACCACATACAGTATTATTACTCTCAAGCGTTTATCTCATGATTGGAACTTGCATTGCATAGCTGTCTCAGCATTCTGACTTAACACCTCTCAGAAAGCAGTTTTAAATGACTTCTTTTTAATATTTTTAAGCATGTTAGTTTTATTGTGGGATGATGTAACTTAAGAAATACATCAAACATCTGCTTACCATCAGAGCCATCACTGGCCAGCTGTGATCTCTTTTGGCAATCACCCTAAGCGCTTGCCAGAAGAGATTTTTGGTAGTGCACACTCTGACCCGCCCAGCCAGACAGCCAGTCATCTTTTAACGTGTGACAAGCCCTGCAGTGTTGTACAGAAGGTTCAGTGCAGACTGGAGGAGTGGCGCATCTTTCAGTGCTATCACTGCAAGTTTGCAGGCTGTGAGCTGAGAAAGCCATGACCACACTGTGTGCTCAGCAACCCCTGTGGTGCTCAGCAAATTATACACCACTGTTTGGAGAATCAACTTTTTACAGCAGAAAGCGTTACTAAATGTTTTGTTGCTAAAGTTTTAAAAAAGCAACATCTGTCGGTGTTATTCATGCCTTGTGAAAAAGAACAGAGGGATTTACATAGCAGTTATCATTTTCTGTTCACTAAAATGTAAAGATTTTCTACAGATAGACTCCAACATAAGAGTACTAAACAACATTAAAAAATATTAGACCTTGTTTTGTAGAGAGACTGAAAATATTTTAAGAAATAGCTCTGATAACGTCACTTCTATGCACATAACACCATCAGGATGAAGCTTGTACTGATGTGTACTGTATATTAGACTATAAATACATGCTGGACAGGTGCACAATACAGTTCATTATTGCCCTCACAGGGGGAAGTCTAGTTTAAAACAGTACGAAACACTATTGTGCTCAATTCCAAAGCATCCTGGTGCTGAAAGAACACTGAAACCAAATGGGGGGTCCGATTCATTAGGTTTGGTAGTTCTGTCCCTAAATATCAGAATGCCCAAAAAAGCAAATCATACTGTAAAAAAAAGGACATACTGTATTCTGCAGTGAATACAACACACTCGTTACACTTTCCTTAGTTGTAGTAGATTTTGAGCCATAACAGAACATATGGAGTTTGCTATTCTCTAGTCAATGTTACATCTAAATTGATGGTACTGTATATGTACAGTATGCCTTCTTTATCATTGTAAATTTCACAGAGGTTTTCTGCTTCAATTCTTGAGTTACTATAGAACACCCTACATATAGTATAACTACCACACAAGACCACACAATCAGGAATAACGATGACAAGCTGATACTGTTGACTTGTAGTGATCGCTCGCAGATGCTGAACAAATCTGCAGTAGAATTACTGGCAGACCCAGTCACACTAAACCCCAGTTTTCATTGAAAACCAGCTCCCCTGAGATTTGGGGTGTTCCCCAAGCAGTCAACACAATCACAGGGCAAGAGCACATTAAGATATGATTTTTAAAAGTGTTAAAAATGTTCATTTACATTCAGTATACTTATATGCAATACAAACATGTGCATACAATGTATGTATGTTATAATCATTTGCAGTAAGTCATGATGTTCCACATTGTATATTCTTATAAACTTTCTCTTATTATATTGGAGAATATTGGATTAGAAACAACTGCTGAAGTCAGAATGGCTAAGCTTTGGCATTAATGAATGCTTCATTCTTCAAGTGCTTTTAGTAAGGCTTCCAGTGCATATATTAAAACCAGTGGAACCAAGCCAGATGGCATTTTAATAATATGAATCCTATCCTAATGACATTAAATGATGGCTATATTTTGTGCATAGTAATATTTCACGGCATTTGTCTGTTGTGAAAGTCTATATTGCAGGTTCCAAGCCAAATCTCAGAGGAGCTGTGCATGTGCACAGTCATGCACAATGTTTTCATTCTCCGTGCTTGATAAGATTCACATCAGGAGAAATTACATTTTGGAAGCAATGTGCTACATGTAGATAAAATTTCCTTTATGAATGCTTCTGGAATACACAGTAGAACCACAAGAACGATCCTATAATCTCCTCTTTTGTTGTTCTGTTCCTTTAATGTTTAACTGTAGCGCTTGTAATTTTAGACTTTTTAAAACCACATTATTCAATCACACTAATTAAGAGGGTACAGCATTCCATTGTTGTTCCTGTTTTTGTAAAGAAAAGTTGCATATTTTCCAACAGATCTGCCATTTTATACATCTTGTAGGTCTTGAAATAATCATGTTTTAACCATGCTGTATTGGCACAGTGTTCGTGTTTTTTGCACAGAGGCAAGCCCTGTAATTCAAGCACTAATAATTCCCTCACTTTTACAAGCAATTTACTAGAAATATTACCACATAAGGTTATGGTTATGTGGGAAGAAGTGGTTCTTTTTGGTATCATCAAAAGGCAAACAGAAGCATGCCAGATAGCTGAGGATTTGTTGTAAAGCACTGTAGGAAAATGCTGGAGCCTTAAAGTGTGATTATACAGACCAAGCAAAATTAATTTTCATAGATTGGTTTGAGAGTAAAGATATGTTTGTATCTTCCTGGGCAGTTGTCATATTTCCTAATTCATGGAGGCAATCAGAGCTACTGTTTTCAGGTCAGGTGCTGTCAAAGAACCGGATGGCTTATTTTATTAAATCTACAGTACATGTATGTGCAGCAGTAATGGATGATTTGATCAAATTGCAGTTACTGTAGAAATAAACACATGGTTTCCATGTATGGTAAATGCTACATCATCTTTGCTTTAAATTACATATTATGAATTTATACTTTTTTTATTTATTAGTAAGTAGTCCAGCTCATTTATCATCACTATCCAGACATTGGTGTGACATGTCTAATGCAGTACAATTTTGAGGCTTAATTAATTTGTTGATAAAATATTTAATAGTAAAAATAAAATAACCTAAAGGCAAATTTCTATTAGTACTTTACGAGCTTGAGGTTTACTTTTTCTCTTTCACAACTGTGACATTTTTTTACCTAAACAAATTAGACTGTTCTCCTTAGATCTCTAAGGTGTGAATTATCACAAGAGTGAGCTATTGGGATGACAGCCTTTAATAGGCTGTCCTTTTTATCTGTCTCATAGAAAGAACTGTTCTGAATACCTAATGGGTGCTTTGCTTATTTGTTTAATCAGTGTGTGTGCGTGTGTGTGTATTTTTCAGGATTAAAATAAAAGTAATTATACGATACAAAGGTACATTAACAAGAATTCCTTTAGGAAAATTACTTTATCCGAGAAGCAGGGCAAATAATCAGAAGGCGTAGGAATAAATTAAAAAAGCAAACATCCACTGTTCTCATTTCTTCTCAGAACAAAATACATTTGGAACATGCTAGTAAAAATATACACATTTTGGGGTTCTGTGAGGGCTCAACCAGTAAATTATTTGGTTTGCAGGTTGAGCTGTCTATAATACAGTACTTTACCATTTCTCTGGATTTCACTCACAAACAGCTGAGCGGTGCTGAATCTAGATTTGGCTTGTACTGACCATCAGCTTCCTTGTGACTTTCAGAGCACCTGTGAGCTTGAGGTTTTCATGAAAGCTGCAGTGGTAAAGCACATTTGCTCATTTAAGACACCAAACTAAAAAGAAAAGCTTGTGGCAATGCTTAAAAAATCAACCGTTTTAACATCTTTGTTAAAAACTGTGCTTTCTTTTTGGTAGAAATGGATAGAAAGACTGTACTGCTATGATGTTTTTCTAACATCTGTTGTTGTTTTGCTTCTAGAACACAGACTATACTCCTGGCACCTGGCGGAGAACTGATGTACACTTGGAGAATCCAGAATACCACACCAGATGGTATTTCAAATATTTCCTGGGAAAAGGTGCACAATTTGTTCTTACTCTGTCTTATATATTTGCCAGATGTATACAGTAGATTCATTTTCACTTTCCACCATGCACGTAGATGTCCGTAAAGGTTTTGTTAAAAATACATTTCCATTGATACTGAAAACAGATCAGTTTGTTTCCTCAATAGCTGTGAACATTGTGTCTTACAGCATGTGATTTGCACTAGGGCTGGTTTCCATGCTTGTGCAGTATAAACCCTCAATCACAAGTTAAGTTTTAATTGCATTTAAAATTATTCACCTACTGGGTTGTTGTAGACTTCACTGACACTGTGAATTACACACCAGTGTTGGTCCATAATGAAAACCAACAATCCTGGCTGTTCCTCTTAAAGCAGGTGTCCTAAATGTATATTTCATTTGTTTTACAGAGAAGAGCACTGAAGGAGATTTGTTAGGCATTTCTGAATTCCGTGCCACGTAGTTTTATGGACAGCACTTGTTGTGTAAAACATTCAAAATAGCTGTAAAACAAAATAAACAGGCTGACTCTAAAATGTATGACTAGCATAACTAGCAGTATTGCACTTCTATAATATCAACTCATTACAGAATACAACTCATTGTGCTCACTATACAGTACATATTTAAATCCCCATACACTATATGTTTGAGCACAGAATTAAGAATATAGAATGAAATGTAAAAAAGGACCATACTCTTTATTAATTAACTATGTATTAATAAATAAAGGGCTGTAAGACAAAAAAACTAAAGACTTAAAAAATATTTAATGCAAGAGACAAACAGCAGAAGAAACTGCAACACAACATTCATATTTTAACTTGCAATAATTCAAGTACAGTAATTGCAACACATTTTTAAGCACTTCTTGTGGGGTTTTTTCTCAACACTGATCTGGTATAAACATGTACTAAAATATTTATAATGGAAGGTCTGTATGTTTTCCTATTCTTTCGTATTTATGTTTTGGAGTAGTTTACATTCCACATAAGTGAAGGTTCAGTAATTAGATGAAATATTCATGACAATAATGAACTTCAAACCTTTAATGTATAGAATGTCTCATAATACAATAATTTAAGAAAACTAGCTTTTTAAAAATTAAACTGTAGCACTCTGCAGAAATATTGTAGATAGACTGCAAGATATCTAAGAAAAATTAAAACTGAATTGCTGTATTGCTTGCATTCTGTTATATCACTGAAAACTGGATACTAGGAACAAATGGCCTTCAAGAGACTTCAAAACTGGTAACTTGAAAGCAATTTTTCAACGTACAGGTTTCATGTGCAAATTCAAACATTTGTCATGCAAGATACACAATATTCCTAATTTATGAAGAGTATCCATAGGCTTTAAGATTTTTCCATGGCGGTTTTACTGTACCTGTGGGCTTGTTTTTCAAACCTTTTGGAACGATTTCAGCAAGCTGAAGAGGTCATAGGAAACACCCCTTCTAATAAATCAAATGTACACATTCTACAGTATGTGTACACACTGTATATGACAGTAAGACGTGTAGTCACTATGAATCTCTTCAGCTGTCATCTATTATTTATAGGGTGTGAATACTTTTTAACAAAACTGCACAGGCAGTGATGGCATAGTAGGTAAAGCATGCAGGAATTCTAAACACTATCACATGTTTGTGCTTGTTTGACAGGCCTGCCCCATCACTAGCAGCCATTGCAGTGTTTTGTCTAGTTGGGAGCTTATTTGTAGGTCACCAGCCACCACTGAGGTCTGGCCATCTTGGAATCAGGCTTGTGTTAGTTGCAGCACTTGCAGGGCAGTGAGTCTGATATCGTTGCATACAAAAGCACTGATAAGCCAAAACCGATCAGAGCCTGGAAGAGAAACCAGCAAAATGGCACACCATTCCTGCCTACACATACTGCGTGTCATGAACAGGGTTCCATTAAGGCTACTTAGGAATAATTTGGTTTTGCCTGTAATAGTTTTCTTTCAAAATATAACTCTAATCCCTAGAAGTGCTCTGGAAGAAGAGGGGAAATGCCCCACCCCCACTGAACACAAATTCCTGCTGTTTAACAGTGGTCTTCCAGTGACCCGCTGTCCTTACTATGCCTGTTTTCCATAAAAAAAGGTATGCAGTCATGTAGTCGTGTAGTGGTGGGTTAGATGAGAAGTTAAACGAGATGTGTGTGAGAAGCTTCTGAATTTCAAATTGCAGTGATATATTTAATGCAGGGGTTTAAACTTTTGACCTCTTTCTGTGGGCTCATTACACTGCTGGAAAGCACATTTGAATCGTAAGTTCAGTGCATGGCTGAGAGCCTGAACTGTTAAGCGGTTAGAGAGAAACAAGACTGTACTCTTTCTCCAAGTTGCATTAGAATACAAGTCAGTCAGCTGGTGCTATTATTATTAGTAGTAATATTATTGATAATAATGGTGCTGCTACTACTACTAGTTATAATCTTTTAAACAACAAAAATCCAGTAAACGAGGACTTTTAATGGTTAGGAAACCATGATGTCCTCACCTCAAAGCCCTGATAATATAGGACAAGAGTCTTAATCAAGAAAGAAATGTTTAATCCTAGGAGAATGAATGCCAGTCATTCAAATGCCAGAGGTATAAATGTCAAGATTATGTTAACACCAGAGGCGCAGTGTGAAAATATTAATCCAATAAAATCTTTCCAGATTGATTAAGGTTTTTAAATTGTTAAAACTATTAATTAAAAAAATGTGGGAGGAATTAATAAACATCAGTGAGTAACATGGCATATTAATCAAATAACTATTTGTAGTGACATTTGAATTTGTTACTGCTAATCCACATTCCATTCCATGCAAAAATGTGTGCTCAGGCCTTAAAACCTCCTTCCAAAATGCCAAAAATTAACCTTGTATATTGAGTCAATGTGTAACGTATTTGACAATACTAGACATCAGAATCCTACATGCTCCATTAAAAATAAGAAGATATTCTTGTGAATACTGTATATGTTATATAGTAACCTCTACAATTAGAGGACCAACTGAAAGATAAACATGAAAGGGCCATTCATTTTTGATACAATAAGTGTTCACTATATTATGGAAACAAAATGTTTAGTGTTGATGTATTTTGATCCCCTACTGTCTGTATCAGTAGTCAGAAGGAAGACTGTTGTTACAAAATATATAAAACAGTTCACATCTAATCTAGATTACCAATGTTGTTTATAAGGTTACTGTAGTGCTTTCATCATGAAAAAGGTGAAAGCACTGTATTTGAATAGCAGGCTATAGACTACGCTCTGCACCTACGTAAAGAGTTCAGTGCACCTGTTTTCAATTAATCCATAGCTCTTCTGTAGAATACAAAATAAATTATCTGTATTAAATTGTATCTCATTTCTTCCATTTGAATGCATTAGCATTAATTGTAGGAGAGGCAGTCATGATCTTCATAGCCACATCAATAAGAACAAACCAAGTCTCTGTGACTTACAGCAAACAAGTCGTCTAAAGGAGTCAGATGTCTTCATTTCTCAGGAGCTATCGGCTAAAAAACTCTTAAGATTTCTTACTTGCAAGGAAAATAAATAGTAGATACAGTATAGAAAGAAAAACATCCATACGACTTTACATTCTAAACGTCTACAGTGTCTCTGTTTACTTATAGTACTTCCTCAGCTTTTCAGGAAAGAAAACTTAACATTTCCTTTTTGTGTGCTGTCCTTATTTTTGAATAAATAGTCTGATTCATACAGTACATTGCTTTTTTCATGCAAGAGTTTTATTTTGATTTTCATCTTGGATAAATGTAGTTTTTGATTCATTTGTGAACCTTGTCACCACTCACATCAGTGCACCTAATCCTCACAATAAAATAGACTCGTGAAATTCAACGTCATTAGAATTGTTTGATATTGCAGTACTATATAAAAACTGCAAATACTGACAATTAAATACACGTTACACCTCAGAGCAGATTTTGGATTAAATATTACTATTAACAGTATGAAAGTCAGAATACATTTTTAAAGGAACAAGTAATAGGTTTATTCCATGCTGAAAAGAGAAGAAAGAAAACACAACGTTCTGGCTGTGGAGCCTTCTTTCCGGGTGTGAGAAAGACAGGGCAGACAGCAAAGATTAAATAAAACAGGAGAACAAAAACTGGGAGAGTGGAGGAAAGCGGGAGCAGGGGAGAGGCAGAGAGGCCACTCAAGTGGTGCGGAGTGGGGAGAGGTGAAGAGAGGAGTGAAGTCGAAACCTGCATGTGAATAGAAAAGTAGTTCAGGTGGGTAGCTGTGTCGGCATGCATAGGCTGCAAAGGAACAAGTAATAGGTTTATTCCATGCTGAAAAGAGAAGAAA